TTGTTGTACTGCACCTCTATGCTGCCATGTCTATTTTTCCCCCACCTTAACCAACCTGCACTGACGGGCCCGCATGTTAAATTTTATCAAATATCCGCCTGCGACCCACACGGCGTGGGTAGGCCCTCATCCAGCCGTGGATTGACCAAAAGGGGCTGTACATGATGTCACACGGCAGTCCCTCAAAGAATGGAACATACCTCGAGATGACAAACCGACGGGGTGACTGAACGTGAACGCGGCTGCGCGCGGCACACCCACATGTCTTTTTGGCGCGTTGCCTTCTGCGGGAGCTTTATCCGAAAGGTGCCACTTTCCGATTTGCTGGGATAATGGATTTGTTGTTGTTGTTGTCCACACTCAGACTGCAGGGAATCTCTGGAGTTCGATTCACTTCCCTCTAGGCCTGAAAACCAACCGCGGGCAGTTCGCAGGAACCTAAAATGTGCTCCTGCGAGCGACGCTGCTCACCGACCTCCTTATACGATAGCCGGGCGACTGTAATGATCGCGCCTTGGCCGTAACTCACGATAAATTGCCTCGAAAGTAAAAAAAAAATCATGAATGGACTGCGGTGCGCGCAGCAGTGGCGGCACGGGCTGCTTTACTGCCACGTGTAATTGCTGTCTTCCCCGTGTGTAAGCGTTATGGGAATCATTTATGAGATTATTTTTTAATGAATAGACATTCTGTCGTGTTGGTATTTTTTTTTATTATTATTAACCACCGTCCAAATATGGCTGCGTCCAATTATATCGTTCGTTGGTGGAGGGGAGGTGGGGGTGGCGAGGGGGCCACGATGGAACCTTGGCCGTGCAATTATAATGCGGAAGGTGCGCGAGTATTGTAATGATGCTCGTTGTAATCGCCAGTGAAAATGCCCTACTCTTCTAGATGGTAAATGTTGTGGGTTCGCTGTCCAACACGCCGGCCTGCTGAAAACGCATCGGCACGTTTTGTTCACGTGACTAAAACCTTACCGATTGGCTGTTTGGCTGTGTCTGGCGGAGGTGGCTTTTACGACACGTTTTACGTCTCCGCGATCTTAACCAAAAAAAAAACCGTGACCGTGAATGCCAAAAGCGTTGGTCAAGGTGCAGTCCCCACAAGTGCTTGGTCACGCCGCTACTGGCCAAAGGGCCCTTCCGCTCGATGGCGCTCCAGAGAGCCCCTCGAGGGGGTGTATTTGGCCTACTCTTCCATGCCGCCCAGACGTGTTAAGGAGGCAAGAGTACCCACACTTTACCCCGCCACACGCCACCTGCCGACCTCTGTCAACCCTGCTGGCTGGACAGAGGGTGGGCGGAGGAGATTTGAGAAGCTGGTGGTGACCTCTGGATAGCAAGTCCAGTCCACTGTACGTATGTACGTTGAACTTCTTTCGCACCGTGCGTGGCCAACCGTGCAAATCGGAGCTGCGGGACGAAGGACTCCAAACGAAATGCTAAAAGCAGTTCTAAAGAAATGAGTTCGTCAATCTGGTCGATTTAAAATTACACAGCTCCATTTGCTTTCTTATATCGGAAGGAAGAGCATTCCAGACGACCGCAGAAGCGCATCTGAAAGTGCGCGATGTGGTGACCGTCTCTGTTCCATAGCTTGCCAACAGCTGCTGCTGTGGCAACATCCCGTAATGTAAAGTAAAAAAAGTCAAATTGTTTCCACATTACGAAATAGATAAAAACAACATAAGGGCCATGATTGGTAGTAGTGGCTGTGCCGTGTTAATGGTGTCACATGTCGGTTATGGCTGTGGCGATTGAAGTGCGGAGTTGTATTACTGGGAGGACCAGATGTTCCCATTAATTGACGCTGCCACCCCGACTACGCTTCCAATGAGGGGTGGAACAGTGCCTGGAGTCATCGATAATGATCGGTTCTTAAGCTCACAATGCATATGCATTGGTGTGGCGGTGTTACTGTGGTGTGGCAGTGTTTCTGTCGTGAGGCTGTGTTAGTGTTTCTGTGGCTGTGATTCTGTGGTGTGGTTGTGATAGTTTGGATTGTTGTGTTTCTGTGGTGTGGCAGTGTTTCTGTAGTGAGGCTGTGTTAGTTTGCTTTTCTGTGGTGTGGCTGGGATAGTTTTGGTTGCGGTGTTTCTGTGGTCTGGCTGTATTTAAGTGGTCTGGCTGTATTTAAGTGGTCTGGCTGTATATCCTCGAGTTGATGTTTGCCAACGTTTTATGTCGCAATGTTTTGTGGGGTGGAGCGTCCGCGCAGTGGTGAAAGCGCTACCCTGCAAACCCAGCAATAACTCGAGTTAGATTCCCAGCGACGGCTAACGAACATTGGTGAAGTCTGAACCATTTGCCGACGCGCACTGACCAGCATGGCGGAGTATGGTCTAGCAACCCCCACGACTGACATCGCATGGGCCCGAGGCCTTCATCCAGCAGTGGATTGACAAAGTGCTGAGAAATGTTGTACTGTATATGCAATGGGCGGCTCTTCATCCCGCGAGCCAGGAAGCCGAGTCTTATGAAGAGCAGCAAAGTGACAGCTCATTGGCTTGATGTGTTACTTTCTCAGAGGTTATTTGTTTGCTGCAACGCGATTGAAGTCCTGCGTGGAGCTGTCAGCTGACGGTGAGACTTGTGATTTGAGTTGGAGTTGTTGGGGGCGTGGGTGAGGGGCGGGGGTTAGAGAGTGAACGGCCTTTGTCTCCCGACCCCGTGGTCATTTACGGCTGGGTGGATCTAGCAGAGGGCCCAGTGCCAGTTTTAAATATCCGCCACTGATGTTGGCCAAGGTTTGGCGTCGGCGGTCGTGGCGGTTTCTGGACGTGGTACAGAAACCGCCCCCCCTCCCACCAGCAGTGTGACATGCAGCCCTCATTTGTGTCCACGGGGTCGGTTGTCGGTCTTGGTACGGAGACGCTGCCAGCGCACGCGGTCGCGTCCGGTGATTATCAGCGAGAGATTTACGCGCTCCCTGCACGTGCTCGCTCTGGGAAATAATAATAATCATGATACCGATCGGTCCGTTCATTAGGCCTCCTCGTACGGTTCTTTCGCAGCTGCTGTGAAACACGCGTCAGTGTGTGCATGCGGGAAATATGTTCGCGTTTGCCATTGGTGTAAATAGTACGCACGTTGAATATGATGCGACTGTTGTGTAAATCGGTGATGGGAGTGGAACGGCAGCGTTTTGGCGAGTGCACCTCTGTGAACCCGACGACCTGACTGCAAATCTCGGTCATGGCTAACATCAGTGGTGATATCGGATCCAGATCTGGCGAAGTGTGGTGAAGAAAACCCCCCCGACACGGCATGGGAGGAAGCCTGCATCCAGTATTTTTTTTTTTAGCAGGTAAGGCATACGGAGCCATGTAGCTTTTTTTCAGAAGTGACCTGGCCACAAAAGATAGCTCAACGAAGTGGCTTATCGTGTGGACATTTTTAGCAGCCAAATACTCTAAACACGCACAGTTTTTCAATGTGGAGGGAAAAACCGGGGGACCTGGAGAAAAATCCACGCGGCCACGCAGAGAGAGAGACACGCCAACTCAGCAAGTGTCGGGGTCGGCATCGAACCCACGACCTCCTATACACCAGGCGAGGTAGTTAACATCTCGGCACCGTGGAACCCAAGTGGTGAATTGACAGAAGGGTGCAGAGCCGGTCTTATCGGATGCCGTCCGCCACGTGTGACTGATGGTTCCGGCGGTAGCGTGGATGCTCGGGGAGTCCTTTTACATGCAGCGCAGGCGGCTCCTGCGGTCAGCAGAACAAGATTGGTTTCTGGTAGCGAAGTGCACAAGACATCCGGTGCTTTCACGTACCGCAGGGTTATTTGATTATTTAATTTACCCCCCTCTGTCTTTTCCACGCTCCGCTCTCTGACCCAGTCGCGTTCGTGCGTCCGTCCAGAAAGCGTGGGCTGAATTGTACTCGCTGCACTCCCACAGATGACCGGTGGCCCATCTCTGATGCTGACAGAGCGGCTCTGTGGCTTTCTTTGTGATCTGCGTGTCGACCGGATTGGGGCTGATGATGTTTGCGATCGCGGTTTGAATCACGAATCGGGTCTTGTTTTGTCAACGCGGTGAATGTGTCGCACGACCCCGATGCTACGCATACAGTACACCAAACATAAGTACAGTACCGTACTGCAATCGATCCACACGTGCACAATTTGATGCGCGTGTGTGCTCCCAGAAATGTCGTTTAATTGAGGAGGCGGTGGATCATTCGCTGCCTCGTGTAAACACACAGAGCAGGTAACGGAAATAACCCACTCTTACCAAGCATGTGGAATTGAATTATTCATAAGTTATTAGGGGGGGCGGTGGAAGTAGCCATGGGGATCCCCCACAGGGAGTAGGCAGTCAGATGCTTGAAGCCTATCAATGGAGGAGGGGGGGCACAGCATAGGCCTTGCTCGGACAAATTGTTACAACCGATACAATGTGTGTTTACATCGCATCTGAGTACAACCACATCTCAAGACGCCGTGGGAGAAGATTGGTGACAATTTGTTTCACATAGGGAGGAAGTCGGCGATAGGCAGAGATAAAAGTGGCAGGAGGGTTTGAGTCTGGACTTCACCAGGGGCGGGAAGTGAACAGCACGGATGGCTGGGGTGGAAGGGAGTTTTATTGATGTGGGGGCAGCAGAGGAGAGTGAGTGACCACCCACTGAGCCAATGTTGACCGGGGGCTTCCATAGAAAGCCTTGCTTGCTGGAGTGCAGTGCGCGGAGGGGAGTAGAGTGGGATGAGCAGGGAGAGAGGACAAGCCCGGGGTGAGACCATGGGGAGGAGTGCAATCCTGAATTTGAACCTCAACTGAAATTTCGAGCCAGTGAAGGGAATGGATTGTTGGAGTGATGTGTGCGTTCGTAATGCCGTCCTGATGATCTTTCGATGTTTTGTGGCACGTCTTAATGCTGCTGCTGATGACGACGGCGACGATCATGACGGCAGTGCCGGTTGCAACGATGTTCTTCCGGGCTTTTTCAGTCCCGGCGTCGCTGACACCTGTCGTTGTGCCCTCCCCGCAGGAGAGAAGCCGTACAAGTGCTCGTGGGTCGGCTGCGAGTGGCGGTTCGCGCGCAGCGACGAGCTCACGCGACACTACCGCAAACACACGGGCGCCAAGCCCTTCAAGTGCAACCACTGCGACAGGTATGCACGCCCCCCCCCCCTGCAGCGCGTGACCTTGTCAAATCTGGGGAAGGGAGGGGGCGGTGGGGGAAAAGGGACGTACAACATCTCAAGGGGGTGGTTGGATGAGTGGCACCCCACCCCCTTGTCAACAAACAATGGGTATCTCCCGTCAGCGGTGATCTCACCTCCAACCTGTGTCTCTTCGGACGCGGGGCGGTGACCTCACCTCCACTTGACCCCTGCGACTCGGGCTCGTGGAATTCGGGGAAGATGTTGAAGCACATTTTAAACGCTCGGAGGAATAATGATTCGGTACGCTGTGCACGGGCGCCAATGGCGTTGATAGCTTTGGGTGTCTGGCAAACTTTGCAGAAAAGCCGGCACTGGTGATAAATTTTGTACCTAGACTATTTCACTTAACTATAAGGATGTATCGGGGGGAGGGGAGGCAGCGTGGTGGATAGAACCTTCAGAAGAAGGAGGGGGTGGCTCTGCCCCCTCTAGCCCCCCATTCGAGCGGTGATCTCAAAAAGGAGCGAAGAGACGATGTCGCGGAGCCACGCGGTTTGCGGAGCGGGGGAGGTGGGGGGAGTGGGGTGGGGGGGATGGGGTGGAGGTGGGGGGAGTGGGGTGGGGGGGATGGTGAGCCGGCGTCGTCCGATGGCGTCGGAGGAGCGGGAGAAGATAAAACAATAACAAAAAAAATCCAACTTCAGATTTGCGGGATGAGAGTGGATTTTATCCTTGGGCTGCGGGAATGCAAGGCCACGTTTTTTTGTCTTTTCAGGTTCGCTGGCTTGAGCCTCGGTTCCAGGAGTGTGGTTTTTAAGGCCGCTTTCGTGGATCAGAAATTAGTTTCTATATATTTATTTATTTTAGATGTCACCTGGAGGCTTCTGGTTTAGCCAGCAGCAATCTGAAGATGTGTGCTTGCCCTGCGGCTCAAGGCACTGAGCCCCTGTCGATTGTCGTGCTTCTGGGGGGGGGGGCTCTTATCACAGTGGCAAGGAAAGTGTTAAGAACAACAGCTGGCACCTTTTTTGCAAAAGCAAAGAGGCAAATCCCCCCCCCCTCCTCTCTAGACCATACATAAAACGGCACTGTGAGCACAAGGCTCTGAACCTCGCTTTGAAGAGTTCACAACTGAGGTATCCTTTTTTGGCTTCTTGGGTATTTTGGGCGCATCGGCTGAAAGTCTTTCGGGCCAGAGGCTCTCTCGGTGCTTAGGGGCACGGCGGTGTTACCAATTTGCATTTACAGTGGGTCTATAAACAGCTTTCGCTTCACTGTTGGGCTGTTAATTGTTTTCAAGAAAGCCTGGGATTTTGAGTCGAACGCAAACCTGTTAGGACTTGCTTGAAGGATAAATATATCATTATTATTATTATCCCAGCAGCCGTTCGGGGAATCTCAAGTGTTTAGGTTTTTAAAAAAATGTAGAGGTGGGTGGGTGGGTCACGGAGAGGTCAGGGCACTGAGCTGGCACCGTTGCCATCCTCGGTCGAAATGTGGGCAGACGACTGATCATACCACGTTCTTAAGCCTCTCGCACCGATTGTCCCCAGCCTGATGAACGTATGTATGTTGGACTTCTTTCGCGCCGTACGTTGCCAACCGTGCTAATCGGAGGTGCGGTCGTTGGACGCCAATGACTGCGCACAAAAACACGGTTTTCCGCTTAATTTGGCTTACTGCAGCTGTGATGTGCACATATGTTTGCATTGATTGATATCTGGGAAACTCGGTCTGCTGGGGAGTTAAATGTTGCGTCTGCTTGAGTGCGGATAAAGGGGTCAACTGAAGTGACTTCAGAAGGAGCTCTGGGACGCCATTGTCTGGGTCCATTTCCTGGCACAGGGTGATGCACTGCTAGCTGCGGCGTTCTGAGTGTAAATTTCTCCATCTCATGACGAAATGCCGAAAGTGCGATTTGATAAAAAAAACGTGTGAGTGTTTCAGACAAACATTTGTATAACCTCTTTACGAACGCAGTAGGAACCAGGGTCACGTGCACTTTAAAGTGACTGCACCGATGCTCAGCTTTTGTGGTCAAAATAGCGCTCACGGGCTCAAAGTTCAACGCGCGGAATGTCCCAGTGGCTGCCTTGAGTGGGCGAGACAGCTGTAAACGCGAATGCTAATTAAGGCGATCGCTAGAGCATTTGCCTTCTGTTCGCCTACTTGTGCCTAATAGCGCAACAATTTGAGAACTGCTGGCACCTGAGCCCTTGGTTGGTGAGCAGGCTCACCAACCCTGCCCACCAGCCTTGCCCACCAGCCCTGCCCACCACCCCTGCCCACTCACCCAAAGTCAATCAACACCCTCTCCAATGGGGACTGCCGGGCCGCTCTGCGCGCTGGGAGTCGTGCGGAGTGAGCGACGTGCCAGAAGGCGCAGGCGGTGGCGGGCGACGGTGGTGGGGTGGTGGCAGCAAACCAGCACCGCAATCCCCCCCATGCTCCCCCCACGCTCCCCCCCCCCCCCCGGCCTCCCCCCACGCTCCCCGCCCACCACCCCTTAATTAAGAGCTCGCCTCAGAAGCGTTTCTCCAAATCCACGTTAACGGGCTGGCGGTAATGGCCTCGGGCTGACGGGCCCGGTTAAAATAAAATTTTGCCTTGCTGTGCTCGCTCGCCCCCACCTCTCCCACCCCCCTCCTAGTCCTGGTTAGCACCGCAATTACTCACCGGCGGCCGGGCAGCCGGGTTGCCAGGCTGCCGGGCTGCCGGATGGCGTGCCGAGTCTGGCCAGAGTGGCCCCCCGTGCCGTCGGCGCGCCACGCGACTTGGCTCTGATTTCCGGCATGAAGGAGCTCGCGCTCAGACCGGGTTTTTGTAGCGCAGCTGCTGAACGGAAGACCCGCTGGATTTTCCCTCTCTCTCTGCGTGTCTCTCTATCGATGGTTTTAGTTTTTTTCTTCTGCTTGGCGAAGGGACCGAGTCGTCACGTGAAGCGGCAGCGGCAAATGAAATGCGCTCGTCGCCGTGACGTCGTCGCGCGCTCACCTGAATTGAGCGCCGCCGAGCTCGCGGACCGCTTCGTTCCTCTTGCATGGGGAGATTTGTGGCCACCGCGTGGTCCAAGGCGCTCGTAGCGACGGTCTGCTGTTGCCGCGACGATGCTTCGATGTGAACATTGTTGGCTTCCTGGCGACATGCTGCGGATTTTGCGCGAAGGAATCGGTTGTCTCCCATTTGTATGTGGTTCCGCTGAAGGCGGTGGCTTCACCGCCACCCCTGACGCCACTGGAAAAGCTGTTTTCATCACAATTAACAAAAGATAATTCATTGCTATGTTGCAATGTGTGAGCTTGTTTGTGGACGATCCGTTACATCGTTGAGGTGGAGTCATTTGCATAATCACCTCTCCTTTACACCATACCTAATATGAAAATATAAATACATTTCTGATTCTAATTGGAGTATCAGGCTAATTGTTGGGATATAATGTTGCACCATCCTAGCACTTGAATGAATTGTTGAAAATCGGCGCTGACATTTGATTCAAAAGGATTCTTGGATTTGTTTTTTTTCTTTAAGTCTCGATTCTGTGGTTTCCACCGTTTCATTTGTGCAATGTTCATTCCGTTAGCCTAACAGTGATATTAGCATAACATTCACATTGAATTTGCATAAATAGATCTTCACACGTGCGTTCTTACACACACGATTCATTGTCTGTATCATGATGGTAAAAACACAGGAATCGTCGTCCAAATCCTAAATAAATATGGCCATTCGATGTGTAAAGACATTTCCAAAACAATATATTATGCTTTGTAATGCCGCTGTTCATGTAGAGCAACCCAGAGCTCCTTACAACTCTGACAATATAAAAATCCACTGGCCAATCGACCACCTCTAGGATCAGCTGATGCAAACAAATGTGAGAGTTTACATTTCACTTAACAGATTTGACTGTCTGCTGCATTCCTGATAGGACTGCAACCTAGCGCACTCGCTCACCCACCCCTCATTCAATTATCTACTCACTCGATCATCCATTCACTCCATTATCTACTCACCCACTCATCCATCCATCCACTCATCGACTCAGTTAGGGGCAGAGTTCCGAAGGCAGGAGGCACAACTGGAAGGCCCTTTACTCCCTCCAAATTTGAAACACCTTCTAGGAGCCACCGAAAGTGCTCCGCATTCGCCCGCCTCCCAGGTGCAGCATTTCGACCGGTGGCCACCGATGGCGCGGGGTGGCAGTCGCTGGCGACGGCGGTGGCAGCAGCAAGCGATGGCTCTGTGCCCTTAGCGGGGCGGGGTGGGGGGGTGTTGCGGCGCGGTTGGGGGCAGGCGGGTGGCTCGTCGCCACCCCCACCCCTACCCCCCCGTCACGTGGGCACGGCTCCCGTAAGCTCATCTGCTGCTCGTCTAGACGCCACGTGCCCTACGGCGCAGCGGGCGGGGAGCGCTGGACCGTCGCTCCGCGTGAGGCGCCACGTGTTAAAGGGGAAGGCGTGTGTGTGCGCGCGCGTGTGTGTGTGGGAGCGGTGGTGTAGTGGTTAGCGCGCTGCGCTACGAACCTGGCGACCCGGGTTCGATTCCCGCTCACGGGCAACATCTGTGACGATTATCTGAACCGGTCCTGGGCCTCCCCTAGGTCGACTCAGCCTCAAATGAGTACCTGGTGCGGTGTGTAAACATCGCCAACTGGGGAGACAAAGGTGGACGGGCGTGGTGTTGGCCACCCACCCCCTCGTGTGCCGTGCCGGCCTTCATAGGTGCTCGCTAACAGCACTTGCCCCTACAGTCTGTTAAGGCTATACCGGGGATCTTGTCTCTGTTTTTTGTGTGCGCGTGTGTGTGCCTTCGTGCGCGCGAGGTGGTGCTGGCAGCAACAGGGGGGCTATTACGTTGAGGTTTTATTTTTTGTTGCGTTCTCCCCACTCCCCCTTTAAATGATGTGTGAGCACGACGCTTTGTAATCCGCGCAACCGCTGCCATGAAAGCTTTCATGCCGTCGGATATTAAAATCTCGCTCGGGGGGGGGGAAAAAATGTTGGCTT